TTGGGGGGACTGGGTGGGATTTGCCTCTGGTAATGATGCCTACGGGGTACGGGGCGGACACAGCCCCGCTGCCTCTCCCGTCACCCGCTGGGAGGTTTGCACTGGGGAACTCGGCAGTATTTTACCGTGAAACCTGCTTGTTCTCCTGCAGGCAAGGGGAAACTTGGATAATTGGTATTTTTTAGGGAGGATAAACAAGGCGAAGCCTTCAGTCTACCCTGGCTCGTTGCTGGCATAAAGCCTGCGAGAAATGAGCTGACTCATCCTGGCGGAGCAGCCGGCGGGGTGGGGGCAGGTTTTAGATAAACATTTTGCTATCAAGGCCTGTCCAGACTTTGTTTGCGCGCTCCTTCAGCACCCTGTGCCGCCCGTTGGGCAACTGGGGGGGGGCCCGATCCTGCTGATAGTGGTGGCTATTAATAATTTTCTGGATGCGAGTACCAATCAATGCTCTGTGCGCGCAGAGCGTCTGGGGCGCCTGAGTGTCTGCAGAGCAGGGCTTTCGGGGCAGACCCTGTCCTTGGCATGGGACGCAGCGTCCGCCCCCTCCGAAGTGGGCACGATGCAGTAAATCAATGGTGAGCGGAAAGGACGTGCTTGCTTTTTAAAGAGGGCATAGCTACACACCCCCGTGTCGCTGGCACCTTCTTTGCGCTGGGCCCTATCCCTGCTTCAACCGCATTTGTGGGCATCCCAGTCTTTGCCCCGGACCCGCTGGAGGGTGTTGAAAGCCCTCTGTGACCCATAAAGGCCCCTTCTCATGCACATTACTCTAAGGAAGGGGCACCTTGCTTCTGGTGTCTGCTGAGAAGGTGAGAAGATGAGCCAGCGGTGTGCCCAGGTGGCCAAGAAGGCCAGCACCATCCTGGCTTGGATCAGGAGTGGTGTGGCCAGCAGGAGCAGAGCCCCTCGAGTGCTGGGGTCAGGGTTGGGCCCCTCCCTCCCCAAAGGACCTGGGGGGGCTGGGCCCTGGAGTAGTTCCTCCGAATTCAAATTTGGAGCAAAAGTCTCTATCTCCATGAAATTTATCACAAGTTAGGACACTAGGAAAAATTCCTTCACTGAAGGGGCTGTCAAGTACTGGAAGGGGCTGCCCAAGGAAGGGGTCGAGTCCCCATCCCTGGAGGGATTTAAAAGCCGGGCAAACGAGGTGCTGAGGGCCAGGGTTTGGGGGTGGGATGGCAGGGGTGGGGGAACTGTTGGGCCGGGGGAGCTTCAAGGGCTTTTCCATCCCAAACCATTCCGTGATTCTATGATTCAATGACATGGTGGTCCCCAGGAAGCAGAGCACCATCTCACCACAGGGCATGTTCCCTCCTGTTACCTGACAGGGTTTGAAGATCTCCAGAGAAGGAGACTCCACAGCCCCCTTGGGCAGCCTGGGCCAAGGCTCCATCACCCTCACAGTCAACAAGTTCTTCCTCCCGTTCAAATGGAACCTCTTCTGTTTCAGGTTGTGCCCATGGCCCCTTGGCCTGGCGCTGGGCACCACTGGGAAGAGTCTGGCTCTGTCCT